GAGGAGAGGAGAGGAGAGGAGAGGAGAGGAGAGGAGAGGAGAGGAGGAGCTGCTGTAGCCTGGAAGCAGGAGGCTGAGGATCTCAGAGCTCCGAGAGGCCAGCCCTCCATCTGTGCCAGCCAAGGTCATCCCTCATGGCCGGGGCCAGGCAGGGTCCGAGGCTGCAGAGTCTAGCCCGGGACTGCTGTCCTCACAGCCGTGTTCAGACCCTCCGGCAGCCCTGCCCGCCATCCTCTGGTTCCAGCCTTGCAAGGGATGGAGAATAGTTTCTCCTCTTGGAAGAAGCCGGGGCCCTCACCCAGCCCCTTCTAGTCCTTCCTCGGGCTCGCGTCCCTGGAGTGGGCCAGCGGTAAAGCACACAGCTCCAGAGCCAGGCTTTGTGGCTTCAGGTCCCTTTTTACCCACCTCCTGTGTGCACGGCCTGTACGCCCACAGCCTCTGTCTCAGTTCCTGTGTCTGTACAATGGGAATAGTAACTGCGTAGAGGCCTAGTGGGAGCATAGCATGATTTCCACAGGCAGAGCGCTTTAGAGCAGGGCCTGGCACACAGCAAGCACTCAACACAATTGACTAGTGCCATTATCCTAGTCAGCAGGGGAAGAAAGAAAGGGCTGTCTGTGAGAGAGAGGATTTTCTCTGTCACCCGGAGTCTCCTGCCCAAGTTTGGCCTCCCCTGCACAGTTGGGTGCCTCCTGTGGGCACATGCTCCCACGGCCATTATTTTGTGCACACACACACCTTGAGCTCCCCACCATCCTATGGGACAAGACAGGACAAGACATTTTCTGGAGATCTTGAGGTGGAGGTGCTTTCTCCCCAGGTGCGGGTCCCAAGAAGGGTGATCCAGGCACAGGGTCCTGCAAATGCGAAGGCACAAAGGTGTGAAAGGGCCTGTGAGTCAGGAGGCGGGGGGCAAAGCAACTCCCAGGGGCAGGAAGTTGAGTCGTGCTGGCGGAAGTAGCAGGAGAGGCAAGCACTCTGATCTGTTATTTCATTCATTTATTCTTCCATATTTACTAACCATGTGGACAGGGAATGAACGGGCTCGATCCCCGGCTGGGGAGCATACCGGAGGCAACCGACTGATATTTCTCTTGCATTGGCATTTCTCTCTCTCTCTCCTTCTCTTTCTCCCCCTTCCTCTCTCTAAATTAATAAAAACAAAACGAAACAAAAGAAAAAACATATCCTCAGGTGAGGATTTAAAACAAAAAATCCCATGAACCTTTATCTGACTTTCTGGCCCATTTATGCTCCATTTGGACCCCTCCCTCTCACTTCCTTTCTACCTGAAGAAAGGGTCCTTTTTCTTGCTTTAAACCTTCTATCAAAGGGCAGGCACCAAGAAATCTTTACTAATTCCTCGCAGCACGTGCATATCAAGTGTTCTCATCTTTTGGTTGTGCTAATTTGTGGTTCAATTCCCTGTTCCTCACACCTGAGCACGGGAATATTTAGGCACCGCCCCACTCCCAAGCACAGGGCCCTTCCTTTCTCTTTGCCAAACCTGAGGTCCCAGTTGCCTGCCACCTCATATTTGGGCCCAGAGGTCTCTTTCCCTCTGTCATTATATCTGAACGCCATCGTTCACCAAGGCATGCATTTAACCTCCATGAACATGCCAGTCACGGTGCTCAGGAACCCAGGTCACTTGGAGACCCAGTACTCCCAGATATGACGGTGACCATCTGGAAGCCTCAGAACCAGGAGCACGACCCGACACATGAAGTGGTCCTGATGTCTAACTTTGGCTGAAACTTCCCAGCTGCCTTGTGAGAATGCCTGGAGGTTGCCTAGGAAACTCCTGATAGCAGCTGTTGCAAACTGTTACCTTCCTCAAGCACACACTTCTATCCATACCCCTCTCCCTTCCCCAAGAATAAGTCAGCTCCGTCACCCTCTTCCCCACCCTCCCCCTCTTTCCGACCCTCCATCAACCTCTCATTCCCAGTCCAGCCAACACAGCAGCTAGAGAGGTGCCAGAGTCTGGTCAGGACCACAGCCAGTCCCTAGGCCTGGGGCCTCCGGGAAGGGTGCAGCTGGGACAGCTGGCAGGGGAACCACTCCGACTACCCGGACCCTCAGCCCAACCTGGGAAAGTCCCTCCCATCACTGCCTGAGAAATGGGCTTGAGAGAGTAGTTCCTGGTGTCCCCTGACCCTTGGCCACCAACCTCAAACACCAGAGCCTACAAATGCCGTTTTCTGAGGAGACTTCCCATTCCCAGTTTCCTCTTTGGTTTTGTCTTGATTTTAATTGATCTCACCTTCCTGGACCCAAAGCCCTGCCTTCAAGCCCCAACCTCTCTCTCACCTCTGACCCTTGGCAGACTGACCTTCTCCCATCTCTCTACGTATTTGGGCTGTCACTCTCTGGCACTTCCAGTTGAGGCAGTTCCCCATTCTTAGCATCTTATATTTTCTAATTGAGGAAAATATAAGATGCCCTTGTCCAAGGCCAATGACTCCTCTTCTCAGGGCAGGACATCTCCCAGGAAGTGAGTGACAGAGCAGGGACCCAGGCACTAAACCTGGTACAAGACGTCACAGGCACCACCCAGCTCAGACACAAGCATAGGGGCTCTCACTTGCTGCCTGATTGGACCAGGGCTGGTCGCCTTTCAAGTTGTGCCCACCTAAGTGTGGCAGGCAACCCTGGGGAAATTGCCCGGGGTGTGCAGGTGGGACGCTCGGCAAAGCGCTCGTACAGCTTGAGGCTGATCATTTCAACACTAGGTCTGTAAAAACTATCTAACGTTTCTAAATTTTTAAATCTCTGCTTGAAATTTTTTGGCAAGCTGATCAAATTGTGCACCCAATAACTTGCCTCTAGGACTATATGTTTTCTACCCTAATCTGGGCACAGATGATAACCCCAGAGCTCCTGTGGGCATGTCAGAAACTGAACTTTAAAAGGGTTTTGGGGGGACTGGAAGGCTGAGAGGGACAGAAACTACAGGGTAGGGGTTAAGCACACAGGCTTTGGGTCATTGCCGATCTGTGCTCAAGCCCAGCTGTCATTTACCAGCTGGGTGGCCCTGGGCAAGTTTCCTAGCTCTCTAGGCCGCTCCACTCTCTGGGTATGTAAGGTTATGGCACATTGTTAGGTGCTCACAAAAGTAGCTAGTGTTATTTTCTTCCCTCTTTAATATATTTTTCTTGAAAATCTTTCTTTCTCCTGCCTGTCTTCACTCCCAAATTCCATTTCCTTTTCCAAGATGATCCCTCTCTCTCTCCCCCCTCTCTCCACCCCCCAGCTCCCTTTCTCCCTC